CTGATATGAAAGAACATAATAGACCTTTAATTTAATTGACTTAATTTTATTGGCAGCCATTGAATGATGAAATGAAAACAGATGATCTGGATGAATAAGAAAAGGTTAGATGGGAGTAACCCATTAGTAAATATCAAGGCATCATCCTATTGTCCTCATTTAATAAAGGAACGGGTCAGTAAGTATCATCATAAACATTTTTACATTTTAGTGGAGATTTATTTGACATCATTACTAGCAGAGAGATGGATCCTTGGAACAGCAAGTGGTGAAACAGCCTAGCAGATGAGAAGCTAGTTCCTTTAGCTGGCATAAAGTAGCACAGCTCTACAGCTTGACCTATTTAATTCCACCTTTTTTAGCAACTGAGCTATTACTTTGGACTACTGTGGGATATTTGATTTTTTTAAAAAAACTTTTCTTTGACAAATCTTCCAAACTTACGTCTTCTCTTGCCTATCTCTAATGTCTTAAGCCACGATGTAACTCGATATACAGTGTACCTGAGAGAGAAAGATTAGTAGAGGTAGTTGAGTTTCTTCTCAGGACTACCCCTTTCTCTTTCTCCACCCCAGATCTTCCACTTTCCTCCCAGACTGGGTGCTGCCAACCCCTGATGATCTGGTGTTGTGCTTGCTGGCTCCTGAGAGCCAACAGGTCTGCAATGGCTGGACTGTGAACCTGGGCAAGTGGAAGGACACAGGGCTCTGTGGAGTGGGCCAGAAAAGCAGGTTGCTCACAGCCCTCCAGGCCCAGGAGATTGGGAGGGGATGGGCTGCTTTGGAAATAAACCCTCCACACGTCAGACCTCACCCGAAGAAGCAGCTTCTCCCTGACCTTGCTCCAAAATGGTCCCCTCTCATGTGCCCTGCAGACAAGCCTTCAGCTGTCTGGGTCTTCCTGGAAGTCCATCCAAACAGGATTCAACAGCCACACTAAAACCTCATCCAAGGATGGGAGTACCCTGAGGGATAGAACAAATATGATATGACAGGAAAGAGACAAAATTCAGATAAGATGCAGGAAAACCAGACATGACTCCTCACTTAACTCCTTATAACTCACTAGTGGTGGGTGACACTTGTGCAGGAGAAGAGTAAATTTTAACAGAAGGTTGTCCGGACCAACTTTGAAAAAAGCTCTTCTGAATCTCTACCTGCAAATAAATAATTCAAAAAGAAACCCTAAAAGTAAAAAATAAAGAAAGGCTTAGATTTTTCTTCATTTTAGCTGGACTTGGTTAGAAATAGCTACTCCAGTACTGCAATATTTTTTGTGGTTATATATGCTGGGGTTTCATTCAGCCCTGTAGGTGCAAAAGCTGCAGATTCAACTTTCTTGCAAAGGTGGCACCGGGTTGCCCAACCTGGAGCTCTCATTGAGGAACACCAGCCTCATTTTCCATGGCTGTAATCTGCCCAAGGGCTGCCCCACTTCCCCTCACTTGTAGGGACAAGGCCAAACCCTGTATGAGCACCCTGGGCGCTCAGGAAGTCCCCAGCACCTCACACTACTACCCTTTGCATGGGTTGTCTCATTCCTATCCCAGGGGATACACATCCTGCTGCACACCTCCTGTGTGCATCCTTTTGTCCATGTTTCCAAGAGAGTGGTTGGTCCTGCCTTGACAACCCTGGGCCAGCTTCATCATTTTGTGCCAGCTGCTGTCCCCATGTACCTGCCCCAGGTCTCTGCTGGGGATTTCTGGCTCCATGTAAGAGGCTGCTTGTCCTCCAGCTGGGATGGTGGATGCTGCTGTTGTTCCTGTCAGAGCTCCCCTATGGCTATGCAAAACTGGGAGTGCTTAGGCTGTGCTGGTTTCTGCTCTGATTTTCATCTCCCCCCTCTCCCCAGCTGCACTAAAATGCCCAGACCTGTCCCTGTGCTTTCAAGGTACCACTCCCTTCCAAACCTGAGGGGTAAAAAGGCAGAGCCACCAGTGAGAGCACCAACAGGGCACCCAGTGACACCATACGAGCTGGGCTGGTGCTCCATGGAGCTGATCCCACAGAAGCAACTTATTTTTACAGTGTTCCTGCCTTTTCTCCCAATATCTTCCTCTTTGGCTTAATGAGCAGAGCCCTCACAGGCTTCACTGTGTGCTTGCTCACAGAGAGCTCACAAAAATCAGCGTTCATCCTCTGGTGCTGTGACCAGGAGCAAGGAGAGGATATTAAGGACTCTGGTTTTGGGGAGACCACACTGGCAGCTTCTCTTGTCCCAGAGCAGAGGCAGTTTACAGGCATTGTCCTCTCTTCCTGAGGAGCAAGACTGCTGAGGGCAGAGTTATGTGATGTCAGAGTGGCCCCTCTCTTATCATATTCCTACAGGGCAAAGCCCTAGCCACGGCAGAATACACCTACTGCTGTGAGATGAGGTGTCAGAACCAACCTAAAAATCCAGACACTTTCTCTAAAGAAAATCCCAAATCTAGCCCCTTCTTACCCCATTTCAAATATTTTAGTTTTCAGCACTTAACAACAACAACAACAACAAAAAGAGGTGAAAAAAAATCAAGATTTTCCTGGGAAACAAGTTCTCAGTGGAATCTTTCTTTCTGGTCCGTAACAGAATGTCTTGTAGGGGACTTCCCTCTTTGAATCCTGGCATCAGCACCAGCCTGTGGTGCAGGATCAGGACTGCTTTGCCTGGCTCCCAGAGCTCCTGCCATCCGGTTGAGCTCCACAAACTGTGCCTGGTGCAGGGTGGGCTCCACAGAGGGAGGGCTGTTCCCTGCACTGTGCCCTGTTATGGAGGAAAAGCAGTTTGTATCTTAACACGCTTTGCCTGGCAGGCATTTCAAAGGCTTCTCCTCTGAATCAGGGCTGCAGGCACTGCCTACATTTCCTTTTTACAGAAACTGGCAGGTTGAGCTATGCAAAATTCCTTGATCCTGTTTATCTGCTGTCTCCTTCCCAAGAGGCACAATGCTCCTGTGGCCTCTCCAGGCTTTCCTCTATGCCGTTAACTGAGTTATATTTGCCCATTTGAAGGACAAACACAGGCAGGGTGAGAGGAGGGCAACCAGTGGCCCTTGGCATGCCAGACTTTGGGATTTCAGTGTGCAGTAAGGCAGGTAAGTGCAAAGGGACCATGCCCCTTTAGCCTTTCCTCAACTAATTAACTCCCCAGCAAATGATTTGTGTCCAGATCATGTGTTGTGCACATAAAAATAATCCATTGCCCAGGATTACAAGCCCAAAATGAAGACCTTAAGGGAGGAGTGGTGCAGGTCACCCTCCTCCTTGCCTGTTCCTGCTGCCCTGTGGTCCTGAATGGGCAGGAGGAGCATGGTTTGGGGATGCAGGCAGGGAAGCCAGGGTTACCCGCCTTCTGGGCCAAAATCTTGATCTCAGTGCCCTGAGGTGCTCAGTGCAGGGATGCTGCTCTGTGCAGCTGAGTTTTGTAGTCCCAAGGATAATGAGAAAACAAATCAGCTCTGTCCTTAACCTCTGCACAGGGAAAATCACTTCTGTGCTTACCAAGTTGGAGCACTGGTCTGGTCCTCAGGGGTTCTGCTGGGCAGCACCAGGTTGTCCATGGGGGACAGAAAATGAACTGGGGGGCTGAGCAGGGGTCGAGGGGAGGTGGTGGCAGCAGGTTGGGTTGTAAAGGTAGGAAGAGAGGCACTGCTAGAGTGGAGGAAGAGGAAATGCTCAGGCAAGGGCAGCATGAAGGAGGAGGAGGAGGAGGAGGGAGGAGAGTCTCATTTTTGAGGAATAGCCTTTGCCACGGGGAGCGATGCTCACCTCCTCGGCTGGGACTGCAGATCGACAAACCTCCGCGTGGCTGCTGTGGGTCTGAAAGCCTCTGAGGTGCTCATGTCTCACCCCGCTCCCCTCCTGGCCTACAGGTGGTCTGTGCAGGCATCCCTTATCCCGTGAGGTCCATGGTGGAGGTCCAGGTGATGAATTTCGAGGTGCAGATCCTGCTGATGAGCACAGTGGAGCACTCCCAAATTGGGGCTGGTGGCACACGCAGGTGCACGTGGTGCTCAGCGAGTGTCGGTGCCGAAATCTTGACTTTGCAACCGAGTGCTGTCCTAGCAAAGTTTGCGTGTGGGTATTGACTGAGCTGGGATCCTGCCTGGATATGATTCACCTTCCTTCCCCCTCAAGGGAGGTACATTGTGGAACCTATCACCAGGCTGGCAGCAGCTCTGGTGAAACACTGACTGTCTTCTCGTGGGGCTAAGGAGGGAGGCCACCTCAAGTACGCTTCTAAAATCAGCCTCTTTCTGTTATTTACGACATAATTTTGCGTAACGAGCGTTGCTCATGAGCCTGTTCTCTGGGATGCAAAGTGAAGGACCATATGTCATGGTTTGGACTGCCAACACATCAACATTGCAGTCGTTTGCAGACTGTTTCATATTTCTTTGATTTGGGAATGTGTGTAATTAGCTCCCCAGAACAGCCGGGTGGAGGAAACGCGGTCTGTTATTTAGGCAGAATTAGCATCCTTGTTTTCTGTATTGTGATCCTTGGCTTCCCAGCGCTGTTGCCAGAGCAGTGCTGAGGCATTCATTCCTTGAACCTGCCTTGGTTGCAAAACTATTTCTGCTCCTTTGCTAGGCTATCCCGAGGACCCACAACTGGTATGAGACGTGCTGATGCTGTAATTAGTAAATATCCACCGCAAGCGACAGCAAAAGATTTATAACCACCACTGGAGCTTTCTGCAAGAGCAAAAGCACCAAAGCACTTATGGCCACCACCAGCACAAGGGTTTGCTGCTGTTTACTGTGTTTTTCCCCAGCCTCCCTGCAGTGTCCAGCCAGCATTTCCTACCCTTTGTGCCGCAGATCTGGTGAATAAATCTTTACTGACCTGTCATGGCAAGAAGCTGTGTATGAATGTGCTGGTGGGGAAAGACTTATGTTATTTTAGCAGGTTAACAAACCCATACAGGCTGTGTGCTGTTAGCATTTGGCCTCCTACCAGCCATATGATCATTCTGTTACCCTTTCCTTTCCTTTCCTATTCCGGTGGTCTGTGCAGGTTGGTTTTTGGCAGTGCCTATATCCAACACAGAAAGCAGGAGGAGAGCACCCATGGTGAATGGCCTCCCACTCACTCATGCTTCTGAGGCAGGAAAGGGCTCTGCCCCCAGGGACAAAGGGCAGGCAATGAGAGGCAAGGATATCAATGATTTCATTCCCACAAGAGTTACTCTGACCAGGCAAAGAAGATAATTTATCCTACTTACAAGCAAAAGGAGAGCTCATTTCATGCCACTTCAAGTAGAATGTGTCCCAACCACACAGACCAGCATGACAGTGTGTCTAGTGCTTGACTAGCCTCAAAGTCTACAACCATATGATCTTGGCCAGAGCTGTTACTGGTGTTTGGACACCTCCCTCATCCTCTTTCTTCTTCACCCTGCAGAGGCTTATGCAGCCATGGGTTGTCTGTTTCTTGGTAAATGGTGAGTTTATATTAGTCCCTCAAATAGGAAAAATTCTCTTCCTTGTCTGGCTTGACAAACTCTCACAGGAATGAAGTCGACTTTGACATCATTGGCTCCTAGTAAATTTAATCAGAACTGGCCAATAAGTTCAAAAATTATTAAATTCAGGGGGAGAGGGTGGGAGTGTTTTGTTTCCCTAGGAAAACAGGCAGAAAGAGTGTGTGTGTTATAGAGGAAAAATGGAAATTACTATTTGCAATCCTAGCATGCTATAACTTATCTCCCTTTCCTTTTCTTCTCTTCTCTTCCACATATAAAACAAATCTGATCATTACACTGATCACAAAACGGTCACAAAACTGATCATTATTTCTCCCCATTCCCCCTTTCTGCTCCCTTGGCCAGCTCCACAGGCAGCATCTTTGGGTTGGTTTGAACTCCTTCCTCTTCTCAGCCACTCCTTTTCCTTGGGAGACCTCACTGCCTGGAGGGACATATTCGGCTCCCTGGCTACAAATGCAGCAGGGTAAGAGCAGGGCTGGTTTGTCAGGCACTCTGTACATGGCCCCTGGCTCAGGCTGCACCAGACGTGCTCTTCCAGTGATCCCCTTGTCCCGCTGAAAGGCGCTGCGGGCCCGTTGGATGGTTTGACACAGCACTGGGCACGACAGCAGGAGATGGAGCCAGAGCCAGGTCAGCTGGATGTGCTGGAACACGTCCCCCGGGAACCGCCTGACTCGGCTGCAGTAGCTGGCCCGTAGCTGACCCTCAGACTCGTGGTGCTTCGGTCAGGGGGATGCTATTTTGATGATGCTTCTGCAGATTTAGTGTCATTTTGGCCTTGCTCCCATTGACGTTGTGGCCATAGCTCTGGACACAGCCTCTCCTTTTGCTCGTCTCCTTACTGCTGCCTTTTGCCTCGCTGTCCTCAGCCCTGAGTTCTGGGCTTTGCTTTCCCTGGGGAAGGGCTCAGCAAACTGCTTCTCCCTTCACTTACACCAGCTCCCTTCCTTTCCCTTGCATTGCTACTTTGGTTCATAAACTTGAGGTGTTTCAAACTTCAAGGTCCTTTTTTGTTATTTAGTCCTGTTTCCAGAGTTGTTTTGAGGAGCTTGAGGTGGTCATCCCTACTGCTGAGTATTATTCTCTCCCTCGGTCACCATCCCTATTTCAGTCCATTTCTTTTCCATTTGGCTGCCACTTGACCATGCAAAATTTTGGCAGCTGTAGGGATATAAGCAGGTAGGAATTTGACTCATAAAAAGGCTTTGGAAATAATTGGATTCTGGGTTCATTGGGAACTTGGTTGATCAGTATAACAGAAAGAAGAATTATTTGCTGTGACTCAGAGGACAGCATTGTGCTTGTAGATCAGGTGAAAGACAAGAAGGGCTCATAATGGGTTACTTTTTTTGATCAGAATCTGCTTGGAAGGTTTTGGTAAGATTTTTGTGAATGAGTCTGCTGTTGATATGTATTTGTAGGACACCACGTCCCTGAAGGTTTCTGGTAAGACACTTGCAAAGTCACTGTTATTCTGTGGACATGCATGTAAATGAGTTGACATTTTCCCAATGATAAAAGGCCGACTCCAACACAGAATCCTAAAGTTATAGAATCACTTCGGTTGGAAAAGACCTTTAAGATCATTGAGTACATCCACTTGATCTCTTTCTGACTATATGTTGCAGAATATTTGCAAACAAATGTAGAAAATAGATATTTGTGGTCACAAAAGGGCATGTTTGAGAGATTGTTTCTCTGGCTTTTCCCAGGGTGATACTGGTCTGCCAAGCAATGGAGGCTGTGAGCAAGGAGCCAATAGCAACTTGTTAATAAGGTTTGTTTTGTAAAAAGGCCCCTTTGAGTTAGCAGTTAAAAGGCTCTCTCTTCCCTTGACTTCTGCTGGAGTAAGCCAGTGACTTTCTGTAATAATTTTTATCTGTGTGTCAAGAATTTAACCTCGAAAGCATAACTGGACTGCATTAATTAAGCTTTATCTCATCTCCAGCTGAACCAATGGTCAACAAACAAACAGAGCTTTCTCAGGATGGAGTTCCTGTGCATTTACGTGGTCCACAGCAGCTTCAGTTCCTGGGCAGAAAGGTGTTCCCCAGTCACTTTGTGGGGCACTTTCTGGGAGTCATGAATCCCCTCCTTACAGCTCATTTGTGTCAACCATAAAATATCCCCAAGCCTCTTCTTCCAGGAAATGTGAGGTCCAGAAGAGGTCCTTTTGGTCTGCGCAGCATCTTCCAAGCATCCACAGAGTCTGGCACCCGGAGTAAAGGGCTCTTTTGGTAAGATCTAGTCTCTTATATTTCTCCCCTTGCTGCATCTAATTGCCTGCCCTAGTACCTCTTTGAGGAAGGTATGGATTTCCATTTCCATCATAACCATATGTACAATGTACATACAAGTACATACAATGGGTGCCTGTGCATGTGTTTTCAAGGAATATCAAGCTGCTGTCCCAATTTTTTTACTCAAACTAAGCCTATCAGGGCATTATGTTTTCACAATGGGATTCTCAGGTTCTTTTTCTCCCTGAGGCAATCTCAGTGTTGTCCACATTTGAACATGAATGTTCTGTTCCAGCCTGATTTTAGTTCAAAAGGAGAGCTGTGAAAGATCTGGTTAACTCAGGTGTTCTCACTGTCTCTGGATTTCAGTGAGGTAAAGGCATCTGGTCTTCCCCTGGCTCTAGAGCTAGAACTGAGCAGCCCTGCTCCAGGAAGAGGCACAGGGAGAAAACGAAAGGAAATGTGCGCTAGCAAGGCCCATGGTTGCTAAGAGAGCTATGAGGGAACCTGAAACCACAAATGAAAAATTCCTCTGGACTCAGGAGGAGGTGCATCACCTCCTTTCAATGTGTTTTCACCCTTGAAACCTTCCATGGGAAGAAATGCAGAAGGAAAAACCTTTACAGTTGTACATAGTGGGATGCCAGCAAGTGGCAGCAGCTCCCTGCCTGACAAAGAGACTGTCCACATCTCACATCATCTGTCTGCTCCTTTGTTTATCTGAAAACAGCAAAAAAAAAGAAAATGCTCACGTCAGAAGTTACTGTGACACTGCTGGAATAGCTTAGCCCAGGTCTGACTTGAGGGGCTGCAAGAGGTGAACTGAAAACTGGGCAAAAATCTTGCCCTGATCCTCTTTGTGGAGAGGTCCAAGGGGATCAAGCACTGTGGAGGAAAGGAGAAATGTGGGGTTCGGGAAATATGGAATTCCTTTTTTTTGCAGGAGGAGCTCCTGTTGCTATTCTGGTTTCTGTGTCTTCAATCATCAAATGCGGCTTTTGTCTTTTGATAGGGCGAGGAGGAAAGTGTACAATAGTGTTCTGACAGCCAGGCACACCCCAATTCCGTGGTTTAAAGCTTTCTTTCTGCTGAATTTGTTCTTATAGTGCTAATGACCAGGTTGCCATAAATAGGCACTAAATGGGTCTGGTCACGGTAAAGGAAAGTGAAGGTCAGTGTTGGCTCTTATGTTGTATTTTAGATCTCTGTATCAAAGAACTTCATAAGGAAGGAGAAGGTGCATTTTCAACTTGGGCTTCCTTTTAGGTACAGAGGGGGAAAGTGAGGCATGAAAAAAATTGCTTGTCAGAGTAGGATGGGCATGAGAATGGATGTGGGCTCAGCAAGTTATCACCATAGAGGTTATCACTCCCCATTTAAACCAAAGGTAAAGCTACCACTGAATTCAGTAGGGTCAGGACTTTGTCTGCAGCCCAGCTCAAGCAGCCTAAGCTCTGAGCCAAGTGTCCCAGATTAAATGTCTGTAGGGGAAGGCAGGTGTTTTTGGGATGCTGGGGTGCGGATGCTGTGCTGGCCACAGCGGCTGCACAAGGAAGGATGGGAGGGGATGTGGAAGGTGCTCGTGTGTGGAAGCAGGTGCTGGATTGTGTGGCCCATATAGAGCTGATATCTCATTTTACGGTCCCAGCACCATGTTCCCTTAATGGCTTGTTCACTGAGCCTGGCACTCTGACAGGGCAACACCCCTTGGGTGGGTGCCAGTTGGGTGAGAAATGTGCCCTTGTGAGAAGCTCAAGTGTCCTCCCCCTCTGCCTCACTGACTACTAGGTACAAATGCCCATCTTGCACTCTGTGTGGGGGAGGAAGCCACGGGGCATTTTTAAAGATGGGTAGTGCCAGTGCTTTAGTGGCTGCATTTCTTTTACCTGCCCTAAGCCAGGTTTTGAATGTTACAGCTTGAGCACTGAACCACACCACTCCTTGGATGTACCAGACCCCATTGCTGGCCACACAAGCCTGGTCATGCCCCAAAAACTAGGGAAATTGAGGATATGCTTCCCTTTTCAACCTGCAAGACCACCAGGTCTACAAGCATCAAAACTGGTAGGGATTTTACCCAGTGGGGATAAGCCAGAGCCTAGCTTGGGTGCAATCCCTCAGTAAGACTCTGGTGGTACAAAACTAACAAATCAGGCAGGGCAGAGAACCTCTGAGGTTGGAAACACACTCCTCTGGATACTAATGATTAGATGGTAGGGAGAGCAAGGACAGTGCAGCACCACCAGGGAACACCAGCTCAGCTACCAGTGACAGTGGCTGCAGAAGGTGCCAGAGTGAGTGTGACTGGATATCTCATGTGAAATCAAGCACAGTTCCTGCCTGAGAAGGTTGATTTTCACTTCAAGGCTGTGTGAGACCATTATGGGTTGGTAATGCTGGCCTGTGCCCTGCGTACACACTTTGGGGACTACGCTGCTCACCATTCCCCAGGGGTTCACGGAGCTGGGCAGAAAGCAACCTCACTGCTGTTGCTGCAAAGTATATTATGGATTGGCGAGGGACAGAGAGAAGTCGTAAAGAAGTTAAAAAGCAGAGGATTTGTAACACAGTAACACAGGTTTACAACACAGGCTTTATAACACAGTAACACACAGCAAATCCTGGGGAGGACACAGATGTGACAGGTTACAGCTATGGAGGCAATGCCAGGCATTGATGGTATCTGCCAGCCCCTGTAGGTCTATGTTTAGCTTGCAGGAGCTCAGGACATACCCCAAAAGGAAGAAAAAGAGGGTGAAGTTGTCCTGCAAGGGAGGCTGTCAGCTGTAGCTGTGCTAAGAGGGTCAAGCTCGTTTTTGGGCAGCTCTTGGCAGCCACTTCAGTTCATGTAGGTCTGTTTGTGAAACACCCTGTGCTGCCTGGGCAGACCAGGAATGGCCTGCTCCTCTTTTCTTTCTAAGAAACAACCCCTCCCTTTAGGCTCCTTTTTTTATTCCCTACCACCTGTGCGTGCTCAGAGCTTCCCTGACTGGCATCAGCCACTGTCGGCGGCTCGGGTGGCAGAAGCTGAGCCTGAGCAGGCATTTTCCAGAACAAGACAGCCAGTGCCCAGTACAGAACCTGCTTTCCAAGTGGGACAGGCTGGGTTGGAGCCCAGGGTATGACCTTTTCTGCGTGGTATGCTCCCATGTAATGTGACCTGGTGTCACTCAGCTGCCGGGCGGTGTTGCGACAGGGCTTTGCTGGCCTCTGCAATGTGCAGGCAGGACATTGCATTCTTCCCCCAGACCAAGGCACTGCTGGTAAACCATAAACCACACAGGATGCCAACCAAATTCTGCTATTCTTCGTTTTATGTTGCTTGGGATGGAAGTATTTGACCTTAAATTACTCTTCTTCTTTTGAAAAGGGAGCTTGTTTCTTAGGAAGGATGGATTTGATTCTTTGGTTTTGGGACAAATCTGGTATGAATCCACACATTGTTTCATGCTGCCTGTCCTCCCCACCCAGACAGGGGCACTACTTTAGTGACTGGCATCAGATGTCTGTCGTTCACGTAGGGAGTCTGAACCACACTCTGTGCTCTCAGGTTATGTTCAGGCAGAGATCCAGGAGCAGGGGCACTTCTGGCTGCTGTGCAATGCAGGCTGTGTACCCAGTGTAAATTAAGCATACCACACACTGGTAAACAGCTCTGTTTAACACATCAGCTCAAGTGGGAGACAATCCAGTGTGAAATGCTTGCATCAAGATGAAATCACTTCTTTTCCACTATCTTGCTTCATCCTAATACTACTCATCCAGGTTTGAGCCTGTGGTAGTCTGTAGAGAGGGTGAAATGCAAAGAGGTAGAAAATAAAGCTCTGAATCTGCCACTGCAAAACTCAACTCCCTGGCTTCTCATCTCAGCAGGCTTCTTGCTACCAGTGCAAAGTGTAACACATATTCCTTTTAATACCCTTACCTGCACTGCGGATTAGAACACCACAGGTTTCTTTTGCTCTGGGCATTAGAGAAACAAGATGTTTCTCTAATGAGAAATTATTGAGATCTTGGATAGAAATGTAAAGATGAGAATATCCAGAAGAGGGGTAAAGCAAGTAAAAACTTAAAATTGCCTTCCAAAAATTGCACTCGGAAATTTAGGATTTGTTTTGGCTCCAGTCAAAGATAAGTTTTTGAACTCAATTAAAAAAAATTAAGAGGGGCAGGGTGAATAAAATAAGATGACATTTGAAATCTGGATGGTCAAATGAGAGTATTCAGTGTTAGTATTCTGATCTAAAAGAAATCAATTAATAAAATGCTTATTTTACCTATATGGCCAGTTTCTACTATTTTCAAGTCTTGCTTTCCAAAGTCTGCTCAACTATTGGGAAAAGAGTTGTTTGTTTGCTTGCTTGCTTTTTGTTTATTGTTACTTTACCTTGTGTAATTTCTACCTGCAGCTTTTTACCCATTGATGCTAATGATGACTCTGTAAGCAACCCGGCTCGACTCTGAGAATGTAGGTTGGGTTTGTAACAGTAGCACTTTAGAAGACCTTCCTTTTGACCTCCTGATGAAATCAACCATGGTCTCGCTGTGCACAGAGCATCCCCTCTGAGCACAGCTGCAACGAACAAGCAGGAATTTCTGAGACGGCACAAACTTGCAAACCCTTCCACAAGATTATCAAATGACAGCAGGTTGAAAGTATGTAATGAGCAGCACGGATTCACTGACTAAGCATCCCTAAAGGGACTGGTGCTTAATCCTTTCATAGATGGTGCCCTCTCACCCTGCTCTGAAGGAGGAGGAGGCAAATGTGCTCTAGAGAAATGACATAATTGAGAGGAAGGTTGATTTACTCCATATGAAAGTAATATGGAGTTTACCTTCTCTGTCTAGAGAAGGTCAAACAGACCACTCTGCATGGTCCTTGATTTGTCCCCACTCCTCTCTTTTGGGAGGCCAGAGGGGTCCCCCTCAGCACATGGCAGAACAAGCCTTTATCAGCCACCTTTGCAAATCCTTCCCTGGAAGAATCACGACAGTGAGAATTAAGTTCCTGTGCACAGACAAGCCCATTTCCCTCAGGATTAGCAGCTCTGGATGTCACAGCTCCACAGCAGGACATGCATGTGAGTATATTAAGGTAACCCTGAGGGTTTGCCATCTAGACACCACGTGGCAGGGAAGAGGGGACAGTTTGAGTACAAGGTTCCTGTCCAGGTTTGTACAATCCATGCAAACAAGCTTGTGTTAGTGTTTCACTGACACTTTTATCCAGGGTAAGTCTTAGGAGACCCATACATGTGTATGTGTGGAGCTGCATACCATCACACCTCCTGATTGCACCTACAGGCATCACACTGGCATCACCTGGAATCTCCCTGGCGTCACCCTGGCATCAACTCTGCATCACTCCTGCTTCACCCTGGAATTCCAGTGACTGCAGATGACTGCATTATTTCCCTGGATGCTGGGAATGTTCTTAGAGCTGAACAACTGTCATCTGGTTTGGGATACTGTGAATTCCTGGCACTAATGTCCTCTTCTGTCTCCTCCCTGCCCTGCCTCACCCCTGCCCCTGCCCCGCCTCACCCCTGCCCCTGCCCCCTTGTTCTGTGGCAAAGGGGCCACATAGCAGAGGAGGCATCACACAGATTTGTCTGGCAGGTTTGTAATGAGAGGCATGTGATGACCCTGCACATTCATCAGATGGTTGTTTTCAGCCCGGACCCATCTGCGATGTTTTCATTATTTTTTTTCCTCCCTCTGCTCAGGCCAGGCTGCTCCGGGAGAAGTGGCACGTAGGCACATACGTCCTTGCGCACACTACACTTGTATAAACTCCATCAGGAAGTCATCTGGCCAAACTTCCCAGAGCTCTGCTTTTAACTCTTCCCTAGGCAGGCTGTACTGGCAACCAGGGGATTTCCAGGGAGCGTGGACATGTGCATTTGTGCCCCTGTTCTGTTTATTGATTCCCATCGCTCTCCTCCTGCCTACAAGCCCTGATCATGTGGTTGTGCATCTCTCGCACCCATCCTGCTCCGAGTTCTCACCAGAAGGAAGTCTCCCTCAGCTGTGCACCCACAGGCACACACAGGGCTTTGCAACAGAACAGTGTCTTGGCTTTTCTGGAGGGTGAAGCAGCTAAAGACAAAGTGCCAAAACATGCCCAGAGCAGGGCTGCCCCAGCAGAACAGAAGGAAAGAGTGTTGGTGGGGCAAAGCTGTCAGCTGTTAGGGGTTATTTTCCCTTGTAGTTATTACTTCAGAAGTGTGTCCTTACCAGGCACATGAGCAACAAAGGAAGTTCTCACAGTCCTTAAATGTTTGCTGTGGTCAGGGAGGGATTAAAACAACCCAACCCCTTCAGAAGTGACCCTGTCTTCAATGAAGACGTGTCTCACTGAGTGTCCCACTCTGCACAGAGGCAGGACTGCACACCCACAGAGGCACATCAGTGTGCATAGACATTTAAAGGACTGAGAAAAACCCTGGAGACTCCTCAGGGAGGAGAAAGGCTGCTATTCCTCCCCATGAGATGTGTGGATTAGCAGTTACCCATTCACTAAATGCAAAATAACAGTCATCCTGTGTTGTTAGTGCTTGTCAGCTGCCCACTGACAGATTTCAATGGCTCATACAAGATTTATCCCTGCAAGTGTTCAAGAAATGACGTGGCACTTAGTGCTACAGTTTGGTTGACAAGGTGGTGATCAGTCAAAGGTTGGACTCGACGATCTTGCAGGTCTTTTCCAACCTTAATGATTCTATTCTATTTTGAAACTTACTGCACAGGGGTGAATAACTGGAATTTCTGGAAATGTTATCCTCTGCAATCAGGTTTGGAGCAGGAACGTCTGAATTCATTTGATGTTTGGTCAATGGTGCTGGACATTGTTTGCTTCTGCTTACTCTGGTGTGAGTATGAAATGTGTATCAGAACACCAGTGGTAGTGCTGTCTTTCTTGACATACACTGTAAACCAGCCCAGAATGCAACCATTTATCCATCAGGTTGTTAACAGACATTTGTCCCTGGTTTACTGCATATTCATCTTCTCCAGTGTTACAAAACCATGACATGGTAAAATAGATATTACAGGTCTTCATTTTTCTCCTGTGTACACAGGCGAAAATAAGAACTGACTTCATTACAGTTAATTCAGTTAGCCTGGTGTTAATTTTGCCTTCTGTATCAGATTTACAGGCATCTGTCTGAGATAGAGGTGTGTGACTTTGCACTCAGCCTTGCTCAGACAGCTCTGGTACAGAAGGGATTCAACTGCCAGAAATTCCCAAAAATCTAGGGATGACTTTTACAGCAGACTCATCCATTGCAGAGATGTTTCTCCTCTCAAACATCTGTTTGTGTGCCACAAACAGCAACGTAGCCTTCTGTTTCTGTCAGGCTGCTTCTGAACCTCAAGAGATACAAACCAGAACTGGTCACTGACTGGTGTTGGAGGTATTTAAAGTGCTCTCTGGTCACCTCCTCTCCTGCAGCTGGCAGAATCAATCAAGCTCTCATGGTCCCTCAAGGAGATGGAGAAGCTCTGAAGGCTGAGGAACATGCAGGCTTTCGACCAAGCATGCTGTTTTCCTTTTCTCTGAGTTTCTTTCTTCAGATCTGTTGTTGACATGGGTTATTCTTCCACCTCCTCAACTGGAGGATCACAAGTCTAGTTGCTGCCCCAAAAACTAGACACAGTCCCCTCATTGTGACAATTCATTGGTATCCTGAGCTTTTGAATGGAGATTAGGATTAGATGAGATACTAGGAAGAAACTTTTACTCTGAGGGTAGTGAATCACTGGAACATATTGTCCAGAGAAGTTGTGGATTCCCCATCCCTGGAAGGATCCCTTCAAGGCCGCATTGGAAGGGGCTTGCAACAACCTGGTCTAGTGTAAGATGTCCCTGCCCATGGCAGGGGGGTTGGAATTGGCTGATCTTTAAGGTCCCTTCCAACCCAAACCATTCTATGATGAAAGAAAGCTACCATCTGTCCTGCTCTTTGCTTCTTTGGCTTTCTGCCTCTCAGTGGCGGAGGACAGAAGGTTTTCTGAGGATGAACTCACCACACAGACTCAGCTCCATGTGTGCTGGCATAAAGGATGGGCTTGCTCCATCTTTCCCAAGTCCTTCCTCAGGCTGGCTGAGGCTCTGCTTACTAAGGCAGTCCCTCTCAAACAGCAGCAGCAGGCAGGGACTTGTCTCCTAAGGCACATTGCTGCTACTGCTGCGATGCTCCATGGGACAGAGGAGGGAAAGGAGGCCTAGCCTGCAAACACTTGTAATGAAATGGTTGGTATTGCTCACCAAGGCCCTGATTTTTGTCTGATGGACTGGGCTGAAGAAACTATTGAACACCTAAATCACATCACCTCCCTCTGTCACCTCAGGTAAGCCAACGCTCACCAACTGATAAGCCAAAGGCAGCAGAGATTTGCCTTCCTGTTTTGATGGACTGTAAATGAATTATGTGTAAGTGTTGTGGGACTGTTCTCAAGATGTCCAGCAAACGAGACAAACCTTTACAGCTTGGGGAACTGGAGTAGGGCTGTGAGTTGGCAAGAGCATCTTGTGTGGCCCCTGGCCAGAGCTGGGACCACCACCCCCGTCACTCCAGGGTCTGGTTGTTTACCTGTCTCAGAACTCCCAGGGGTAGGTCAGCTCCAGGATAAATCCCTTCTCACCAAGCTTTAGACATAAACCCAAAGCAGGGAGAAAATGGTTCGTTTCTGCCTGGAATCCCACGTGGCTGTCGGGTTTTGCGCGCAGAGGTAACCTTATGTGCAGACTGGAGAGAAGGTACCCTTGTAGGTGCATTTGCACCTCCGAGACAGAGCCTTTGGGATTAAGTGTCCAACATTTACAACACGAAAGGATGTACAGTGCTCAATCCTGACCTTGCTGTAACCTGTGGAGAAGCAACAAAGATTCCCTTTAACCATGTATGGCATAAACAGCAAGGAACATGCACGTAACAAAATCAGAAAGGAATCTGATAGAGAGCCCCAAAGATAAATGCCACTTTAGGCAATGTTGCTTTAAGCTGTTGACAGGAGCACTATCCAGAGAGGAACTGTGAGGTTTAAGTGCTTCTCTGCTTCTGGGTGGGATAAGGTGTCATGTAAAATGTGTTTTGTGTTCTTGTTTCATCTCCCTCTCTCCACTCTCCTCCGATGAGAGTGCACACACCGAAAGCATTAAAACCAGACTGCGGTGAGTTTGCTTCACTAACACATCTCCACATCAAAGGCGTTGCTGGAATCTATTGATTCTGGCAGAATTGCAGAATGTTTTGTTGTTTTTAGTGAGAAATCATGCATTTCTCAGTTGATTTCGGGAAAGGTTAAAAAAAAAAAAGGAAAGAAAAAAGCTTTATCTTGTGCAAATATTCACCCTACAGAGAGGCTGATAAACTGAAAAACGTAAGGGCTGTCTCCCTTGGTGCCAGCCATTACTCAGGGATGACTTTGTTGACAGACAACGGAGCTTTAGTTTACATGATGTTACAAAAAACCTGTTCTATTTAAGTTCTATTTTCTCTGTCTGCGAGTAATATTTGGCTGTCCTATTGTTTGCTTTCTATTTCTGAGGCAATGCCCCCTGTGCCAGTGAACAGCACTCGGACACAGCACCACGACTTATGTCAAAAAGCCCAGAGATTACCAACTACACCAGGTCAGAACTGCAGGACAGATTGTTGCTATGCTTTAGGAGTAGCCCAGGCAGATTCACCTCTGATGCAGGTGTA